ATCTCTCCTTTTTTTTTTAAAAAAAAAAAAAAACTCCTCAGCCTTTAATAGCACAATAAACCGCCTTCACCAATCTCTACACTTGCTGCGCCTGCTTCTTCTGTAACTCAATGTGATAAGAGTGCAAAATTGAGTCTGTGTCGTCAATGGCAAGTGGTCTGATATCGGCCATCTGCTTGATCTTGGCAGTTCTAATCTCTCAGTCAGCACCTATTCGCTCTCCCAAGTGGCCATGTAATGTGAATGGGCAAACGTACACTTCCTTGACCTCGTCGTCCGTCATCTTGAGTCCCAATTGCTCGCAACGAGCACGTATCGCGTTCCAGCCAGTAATTCTTGAGTTGATTGAAATGTAGCGGGTCAAGCCGAAGATGGCGGGATCGATAATCTCGTAGGTCGAAGGGTTCGCCAAAATAGCTACAACAAATTATCAGTGTACAAGGTCAAATGTGATGAGCGCATTATATTCCGACTTACCCTTGGCGTGGATACCAGCCTTGTGTGTAAAGGCGCAGAATCCTGTGGTTCATGTAAGCAACACAGCAACGGCAGTACTATAGCAGAGTCGAATGGCATACCGGTAATGGGGTTGTTAAACTAAACAAAGAGTTAGCCTACTAAACTGAAATGTCAATCTCATGGGAGGATTGTCTTACTGGAATGTTGATCTGGACAGCGGAGGCAACCAGCTCCTCAACCTCCTTGAGCGCCTTGAGGTTGTACTTATTGATAACGTAGTCGGGAGCAGTCACGACCATACGAGCCATCAGGGCGCCGCTGTCCTCCACTGTTAGCCAATCTCCTAACAATCGTTGTAGCGAAAACTTACAGAGGAGTGATGCCATTGCGTTCACCAATGCCCAAAACACCTAGGCACATCAGATTAGTAATTGGACCCAAGTTGAGAGCAATCGCAATACACACTCGTGTCAATGTGGGTTGCTCCAGCCTCGAGAGCGGAGTGAGCATTAGCGACAGCGCAGCCAGTGTCGTCGTGGAAGTGCGTTTCTACGCGGTGTTAGTAAAGTAAAGGGGGCTGGAAATGTAGAACCAAGGAGGGTTACCGATATCACAGCTCACGACGCCTGATTCTAAGATTAGCCTTCCGATCAACACAGTTTTGAACTAATTCCAATCATACCTCGCAGCGTTCGGATGAGATCGTAGACCATTCGGGGGGTAGCTCCTCCAACAGTATCGGCAACACCGCTGCTTTGAGTCAGTTGCTTGCTCACCTAGGCCAGAGATTTCCAACAACTCACACTCGGTTAACACCAGCCTGATCGACAGCCTTGTAGAGAGTAAGGAGGTCGACGAGGTCACTTCGGAACGAGTCCTCTGAAGAGAAGCGGACCTCTACGCCCTGGCTCTTGACATATTGAATCACTTCCAGGGCAGTCTCCTTGATAATAGCGATACTCTTTCCGTGGCTGTACTTTTGTAGGAAGCTGGAAGTACCAATGACGAGGTCGACGCCGTCAACACCACACTCGACGGCCTTCTTGGCGTCTTCCATGTTGCATCGCACGTCTGCGCATGGTTAGCACATCAATCACCAATGGCCGCATCTTCAGTGAATCACATACGAGTGAGAATCTTGGCCTGTGGCATTGGTCAGTCTCAAGTTCTCAACGCCCAGTCCAACCTCCAACGATGCATGATTGAGTCTCACCTTCAGGCCAAGCCCGCAAATAGTCTTACAATCCTCATATGACTGAGGAGAAGACACGGGACTTGTGAGCTCTATGTAGTCGACACCGAACTCGTCACCGTAGGGATGTTAGCATATGGGACGGGTGCGGAAAGGAACAGCAGGACCAAGTGAGTTGCGAGGTGGTTCAGGCTTACAGAGCTTTGGCGCTGTCATGCAGAGTTAGCACGTGCTTCACGATATCGAGACTGACCAAGGGCAGAATGGAGTATAGTTACATCTTAATCTTGGTTTCAGTATCAAAAAAGGCATTAGCAAACTGCTCGCCCTCACGGAGAGTGCTATAAAATGAGCTAGGTTAGCCTAGAAAGTCCTGAGAGCGGGATTTAGTCTCAGACGAACGAACCTCTCGATAATCTTGAACCGGGCGACATTGGAGATGAAGTCGTTGACGTTCTGGTACGGAGAGCTCGCTGGGTTGGCCTTGCTGGCATGCGACCCGTTGGACACGGGACCAGCGGCGGCGTCGGGGGCGTCTGTACCACACATGGTTTTTATTATATGGATGGAGGGATTGGTAGGAAAGATACAATTCGAGGTTTGTCTAGCGTCACAGCTACAATTGGGGTGGCAGGAGTGGTTTTAAAGGTCCAGATTTTTAGAGGTTTGGGTTCTTCGGATGCGATTGTGAGTCAATCAGTGCCTGGCAATTTTTTTCCTTTGGTGGCGATTGGAGCACTTGCAGGGCGTGCGCAGAGTCAGCCATTGAACGCAGCTTCAAATTCAATTCTAAAAAGCTGAATTTAGCTCTGATAGGTTGCTTTCAGTGGCCGCAATCGGCCTTCTGCCACATTCAGCCACGGAGCCCCGGTCATTGGATACCGAATACCGAATAGTCCAAGCGGGCAATATGGGGTACATACGTATGACATGAATTCTGAGATGCTTTGTGGCTGAAAATTCAAATGACATAATGGCCGTTTGTTGTGCCAAGCTTTCAATGTGAAAATTCAGCCAGAAATCATGTTCGAGTAGAAGAAAAGCCGCATAGTCTTACAGTTTCTCAGTAAAACTCTCAGTTGATAAATATACAGACTGCCGGTCCCCAAGACCATCTTCTGCACAACAATGAATGCTCTTGACGTAGTGAGCTGCTAATTATTCCTGATGCATCTTGTTAAGTACCTACGAGACGGGAAATCATGGGGAGCTACATCTCTACAAGGCAGAGGCTGGCAATGCTGCTACTACCTACCTAGGTATACTATAAGATTGATGCTCACATATCCTAAGGTATAGTATTTACACAAGGCAAGGTCTGTATTTAATTGTTGCATATGAAGCTCGCATCTAGCGGCGTTGAGCTACCACATAAGAGGTGATGAAAAATCAGCTGCAATCGTTTCTCGATCTTCTGTGAGCCGGGGTAAAGTACCTCCTGCAGTGCGTGCACTGAATGTAGGTACCCCGCGCTTGGAGGGTACTTCTGTTGGCTCCCTTGACACTCGGCGCTTGAGCACAGGCGCCGTCACCGCCTAACCAGCCGCGCTTCTTATCCGCCTCTCGCGTCTCACAGCCGCCTTTCTGCCACTCAGCGATCCTCTCCGTCGTATCCTTCCACCCCGGTCCCTTCTCTGCTGCTGACTTGATATTGCACATCATTCTTGGACACTCAAAAAGAAAAGGAAGAGGGAGAAAAGATTACCTCATCTTCTTTCTCCTTCCCCTTGCCTGCATCTCCCCCAATTGGATCATAGCTTGCCCGTCTATTCAGCGCCGAGTTTTATCCCGTCTGTCTTACTTATAATATCCGCCACCTGCCTTTGCCCCGTGTCTCGACCATCGCCAAAAACCACCACGGAATCATGGATTTGGACATTGATATGGACGATGCCGCCGTTGGCGAGGCCTTTCAGGACAGCAACGATATTCCCGAGCACATCCCGCAAGGCGACGATATCCTAGTCCCAGATGAGCCTGAAGAGCCAGGCGAAGTAGCGGACGATGGAGAAGCCAAAGAGGACGACGCGTCAAACACCATTGTCCCTACAAAGATTCACATCAGAGGCCTAGACAACCTACACACAGACGATATAAAAACATACGTCAAGGCTCATTACGGAAATGTGGACAAGGTGGAATGGATTGACGACAGCACAGCGAATCTCGTCTTCAACTCTGAACCCACCGCCCGCGATGCCATCGTTGCCCTGAGTGCTATTGACATTTCAGATGCGACCGCTTTGAGCATTGGCGAGATCATTCCCGCAAAGCCATTCGAGGGAAAGCCCGAAACTTCTCTACAAGTTCGCTTCGCGACCCTGGCCGACAGGAAGCAGGCTGGCGCCGCCCTTCGCAGCCGATATTACCTCCTCCATCCCGAACACGACCCCGAAGAAAGGCGGAGACGATATCAAGAAAACCGCTCTCGGTATCGTGACCGCGACCGCGATCGCGACAACCGAGGAAACGGAGGGCGTCGAAGACGTTATTCAGATGAGGAGGTTGAAACATTCGAGGCCAGCATGTACGACGATGCGCCGCAGTCTTCTCGGGATGACAGACCCGACGCTCGAGGAAATAATCGCGGTAAGGAGCTATTCGCAGATCGCTCAGTGGGCCGATCAAGCGCCAGAAGAGACAGATCTGCATCTCCGCGCCGCGACGACGATGGAGACGCAGCAATGGACGGCCTCGCCAGTTCGTCAGGGAACAGGACGCAGGCTCGGTCCATCAGGGGCCGCCTCGCAAGCGACGCCCGGTCGAAAGAGCTCTTCCCCACCAAGCCGTCTAACAGAGGCGGGCAGCTGGACCAGCTCGAAAAGGCCATTGGCTCAGCCCGGCTGAAAGAGGAGGACATGCCCAAGATCGTCGCCAGGCCAGACGAACCAGCCGGCGAGGGCCTCAACATTCGAGGCGTCGCCAGTCAGCGCGCCCAGGGCAAGGACAGCGGCTTCTCTATCAAGGGAGCCGCCAATGCGCGCGAGCTGTTTCCCGGCAAGTTTGGAGCGGGCAATGCGGGCAAGGAACTGTTGGATATAAACCGAACAAAGAAGAGACAAAAGGCGGAAGACTTGTTCTCATAGGGCAAGAAAGGATGAAAGGATGAAAGATTGGCAATAGGTTGGTTCATGACACCCGTGGTGCTCATGCGAGGGGAGGAAAGGAATAACAACCAGCGGAAATCAAAGTTATCGGGACGGCCAGTTTGATGATACCATGGGCGTTGGGGTCGCGCGCACATAAATGGATATAGTATAAATCGCAGCATCACAAATTCCAACTCTACATATGATCAAGCATCTTAGAAGCGTCTGTCTAGTAATCCCCTCAACACGTAAAAAAGGCATCACCACCATCTCTCCGTCAAAACCCGCTGGGGATCCACGATAACCGCAAGCTTCTCAACAAGCTCATCCGTCATCGTCGGCGGTCCGCAGACATACACCACCGTCCCTTGATCCAGACGATCCCCAATCGCCGCCTCGACATCCGCCATCGTAAGCCGTCGAGGCCGCACTTCGACCTGAGCTCCGTTGATAGACGTCGTCTCCTGAGATATCGCATTTCCCGCTGCCGTCACAAACAGCTTCACCTCGCCCTTAACCTTACCCTCCCCAAACAAACTCGTGATCCTATCAAGGAAGACGATATCCGAAAGCTTACCACTCCTCGGAAGCTTACTCGCATAAATAAACCTCACATCACCAACTCCTTGTCCACCCCCCTCAGCGATATAACTCAACATACTCACCAGAGGATTCACGCCCACGCCACCAGCAACGAAAACCACCTTTTTCGGCGCCCCCTCAACCGGCGGAAAGACAAACTTGCCTCCCACCCTCACACGCAGCGTCTCCCCCAAAATCTCTCTCTCCGAACGCCACAGCCAAGCCGCGGGCTCGTTTTCAGGCGATTCTTGCACCGCGAGCTCGAGATACGGCGAGGTGTTTGCGAGGGCGGCTGAGGGGGCGGACGTGATTGTGAAGCCGCCTGCTTTGGATACACCGGGGATGTACGTGTCGAGCCATTGGCCGGGCAAGAACTATCCATGTATTAATTTTAATTATTTACTCATTTGTTTAATGTGAGAACTAGGATGATATAGAAGAAGGATTGGTTGATTTACCTTGATAGGGCCGGCGACAAGATCCAGGCGAAACAGCCTCACTCTCTCATTGAACTGGTCAATCCGACTCAGCCGCACTTCATGAAGATCCTAAACATCAACACCTTAGCAATGAGCATATTTCATCCTTCCACACAATTAAATTGGCCCTCTTCAAAAAATAATAAAGAAAAATAAGACAGGAAAACAAGTGAAAGGGGCTCTTTACCGCATCCCTCGGCTCCCCCGCCGTCCTCTCAAGATGCCCCTCCCTTCCCTTAGACGCCATCCTCTTCTTCAACGCCGTCCCGCCAAATGACGAAACAAATGTCGTCCTGTTAGACCGCAACGTGCCCGAAGCTAATTGTGCAGAACACCGAATCGATGATATTCGCCAGAGCATCAACGGTTTGCTTAGTTTTCAGATTCAAGGGTTAGATGCAGGCTTCAAGTTGTACAACTCTAAATTTCCGAAAAAGGGCAGATAGATGAACGGCTTCTGCTGACGCCATGTAAGTCAGGCCGCTAGTCCAAAGCCAAACCGTACGCTTCACGTAATAATGGTTAACCAAGAACGTCTAATTGCAATACTGTATTGTGTATACTAACTTATAAAATCAAAATCCTCGGCTTACAATTACACTCATAAAGTAAACCAACTCTCATTGATGCCTCATACATAATTATGCCTATTTCAGCCTCAAATCACCCTACATTTATACTCCCTATGATTTTTGATATCTACAACCCCTTCACCAATTCCCTCCATATTTATATTCCATATTAAGCCTCAATAGCCCCCCAGTAACGTAGCCGCTCGCTGCAAAAGAATCCATCCGTTTACGATTGCTCCGACCAATTCACCTGGTCCACAACCTGCCCTGCCGCAGGGTGAGAGAATGCGATACGTAGTCGCAATCGCAGTGGCTGTGGTAACATCTGTTAGTACGTGGAAATCTAACGACAGTATCGATTTGAAAGGTGAAAAAAACTTACTCCCTTGCAACCAGATACTCTCATCACCTGAGTAGTCTCTGATCCAGGCCCAATCTCCTCAGATGCGATAGGTAGGAGCTGCAGCTTCTGGGTCTTTGGAACAGCTGCTTGCAATCCGGCACCAGATAGTGGAACAGACCCAGTGTTGTGGAATCGAGCCACGGCCTGGATGAGCCCCGCCGCGTTACGTTGAATTTGCATGGTCACATTGAGGTCATTGGCATTGTAGCACGGAAGCCATTGGCCCTGGGCTGCTGGTGATTGCGGTTGCTGTGGTGGTGGTGAGGATGTCGCAGAAGACAGGATATCCAGGCCGGCCGAAGCAGGGGCCGGTGACGGGCTTTGGGCGGCCGGTCCTGGGCCAAAGAGGTCCATGATGGAGGAAATGTTGGACTGCTGAGGCCCTGGGGAGCCAGACGTAAGTGGTGCCGGGGATCCGCCCCCAAGGATGTCGGCAAGGAGATCCGAGTTGGTTGCTTGGGATCCGTTTGTGGGCGCAGCAATGGCGGCTGGCGAGTCCATAATATCCAAAAGGTCCTGCTCGGTAGGCTTGAGGATTTTGGATTTTCTGTTGGCATTCTTGGCCTTCTTTGAGGGAGCCCGACCCAGCACTCTAGACTCCTCCTTGATCTGCGGGGGTGGCATCTTCTCAAGCACACCTCGGCGAACCTGGTCAAAAGCAAACAGGTTGCCGTATTCTACAGCTCGCTGCTGCACCTCCACATCCAAGCTGGTCTGGTGCGTTTGCAGGATGCGCCGCACCTTTTCCACTTGAGAGGCCTCGGAGAACCGTGTGCTGAGCTTCATGAGAGCAGTGACAATGTATTCTGTCGTCACTTGCGTGGCGTAGCTGCTGTTGAGGATGAGGGAAAACAAGTCGACAACATCGCCCTCCTTGACCTCCTGGACAAGCTCCTCCTCCTCATACTGCCCGCCCTTGAGCAGCGCATCACCATACTCGCCTATGCACCAAGCACCAGCCTGAGTCAAGCTCTCTTGGGTAATATCTTTCTTCAGGTTGGTATACAGCTTCTGTACAGCGTACGTCTGGAGCTCCTGGGTGGTAGCAATGAGCCGGATAAATGACGAGAGAATCTGCTCCTTGACGTAGTTGCCCGCCAGTGACAGGACTCGCAGCATGGTGTCAAAGTGCCATCGCTTGTTCGGGGCATATTTGTCGGCGGCAATTCCAATCTGGCTAGTCATGGTTGGCTTAAACTCGTTGTCTGCAACTTCCAAAAAGGCCAACAGCTCCCTGATGAGCACCCGGACGTTGGATTCGTTGATGAGGGTAAAGCTCAGGTCGAGAGCCCTTCTCCGTATGCTGATATCGGGATCCCTCAGACATTCCAAGATGGTGTTTCGATGCCTCTGAACGGCGTTGGGTTCAATGGCAACCACCTTGATGAGTGTGTTGAGCGCGACGTAGCGGACGTTGTTGTCTCGGTTGGTAAGGAACTTGCCCAAGATGTTGACACCAAGAACTCTCAAACCCGAATCGGCCTCGATATCCAGAATGGTAAGCACGGCCTCGTAAAGAATCGAGTTTCCAACGTTCTTGGACGAGTCGGTGTTGGTCGCGACCTGCGCCAAGATATCGTTGATCTGCTCGCTCGTGTGGGCGTCGCCGACGGCCAGCACCCTCAGCAATCGCAGAAGCTTGACTTGCAGGAAGGGGTCAGTAATGCCCGTGACATCGTGTTCTGGTGCATATCCTGACGTCGAAAGGCCCTTCAGCGTCTTGACAAGCCCAGGCACAAATGCCCTGAACTTCTCAACCATGCCCTCCTCGCCTCCTTCTTCCTCGTCCGCCTCGCATAAACTCGTAACCAGAGTCAGGCCGCAAAGAAGAACGCCGTGGTTTCTGTCGGAGAGAAGTGCGGTAGCCTTTTCGATGAAATGCTCTTGCAGGTCGGGCACCTTGCGACATATCCGCATTGCGCAGAGGGCAGCCTTCCTCCTAATATATGGATTCGCGGTTGAAATCAAGTTCTCAATCTCAGGAAACAGATCTCTCGACATTTCATCGGACGCAATGTTTCCGAGGGTGCAGAGGGCGAGTCCGACAACATATTGGTTCGAGTGGCTCAGGTCGCTAGACACATGGCATGGTTAGAACCCGTCTGCTTGCTACCATGGGGCATATAGGGGATGGTTTACTTCTTCAACGAGTTGGTCACCAGCGTCAGGACTTCCTGTTTTTCGTCGAGCAGTAAGCTTGTAGCAAGATGACCGAGACGCTTATCCGCAAACCGCGGGGACGCAAGGAGCTTCAGGCATTCGACCTGGCCGAAGTGGGTTCGCTCGCCGAGGGTGAAGAGGTAGAGTAGTTTCGCGACATTGTTACGCCTATCCCAGTTGCTCATGAGCACTCTTGTTCAATGTTCGGATGCGCAAGCCATCGATATCATTCAGAAACCCACCGTATGTTATGGTCGTGGCCCTCCTCGCGGAAACTGGCTCTGATCGCGGCGCTCTCTTTCTGGATGACGGCTCGCTCGTCTGCAATCGTCTTGGCCGCACGCACGTTGCGGATGAATTGTTTTACTGTCGATACCAAACGTCAGCCATCAGGGCCGCGTCCGCATAGATCAAGTAGGGAGAGCTGCGTACAGGAACTCATCTTGAGGACAGAGCACGACCCGGCGACTGGGTCGTCTCACACGCTGTTATCAAAGGATCCGCAGGCGGTGGATGAGCGGTGGTGCCAACAGTGCAGCAATTCGCAGGCTCCCATACACAAACAGGGAGAGGTTTCACAACTCCAAGGGCCGGTTAGCGCTGACGTCTGGCGAAAAGACAGCGAGCCTCGACGATGAGTTGGAGAGCTTACTTTGTAGGCGGAACGTGGAATCAATCGCAATGCCACCAAGCACCGCTCCCTATAACTGGAACTACACTTGCAAGTACCTGGATCCAAGCACTACGTGGGGCAGGCCACGCTGCATCATGGCCAAGGCACCAGCGGAAAAAGCAATGGCCCGGCAAGGCTTGGGTATCCTAGAGCCGCCAGTACCTGGGCCTAGGCGACACAGCTCTGGGCGCGAGGTACCCCGTATTTCAGGGTACATATGCCTGAGTGAGCTTGGTACCAGCAATTCACTTATCGAGGTATACCGGCATATGGGGTGCGAAACGATCACCTACCCTTCTTGATGGCGCAACTGTACTCAAATGGAAATATGAAGCATTATACAACATCTGCAGTAGGTACAGGTAGTAATAGTTGAATGCTTTTTAAGAGGCTGAAATATTCTAGCTACTTGTATATCTTTATATTTATTTCTATTTTTACATCTTTATTGATAGAAATAGCTAGCGACTAGCCGAAAGGTGAAAGAAAGTATCGAAGTTTGCCAAGTATCAGCACGGCAAGCGCCATGGCAACACAGCAGTAGTCATTTCGTTATCTTCCACAGGAAGCCCAGACAAAGCCAGCACCAATCCTCGCCATCCCCTCTTCCGTCTTGAGTCTCATGATCAAAATGTTTTCATCGGCTGACATCATTAACCGGTCATACAATCTACCCAAAAGTACTATTTTAAATAGCGCTTGGAAGATTGTATATAGCAAACACCATCTGGTCTTACACGCAGTTGCTGCCAAGCTGTATGAGTTGGGCCTCCAGATCGGACTGTGTTTGCTATGCGGTATTTCTCGTTTATGGGTATCCTTAGGTGTGATATGGAAGACAATCCAGGGTGCTGTACAGCATCTATAGTTATTATGACTTGCATCTCCATGGCTCAATGTGATCAGCTGTAGTTGATCAAATGAAAATAATATAGAATCGATTTTATTCCATAGAATCCAATCGCTGGTCATACCATTAGGCTGAAACGGTTCGCAGCTATATCACCATACTGCAAGAAATAGTCACAGAGAGCTGTTGGAATTTGACAGTATGCATAAAAAGGTCCAGGGTACCTATATCTACCTGGACAGCTACCAGAACTTAACATCACGACTCTCAACATCCTAGCAATTTCGAAAATCGCCCGTAGACATGACAGCAGTAAAAGGAACAAAGTCGACTAATTGATTTTCTCAAACAACAGGTTGTGAGCGTGCTAACGCCTTGATTTCGCCGCAAGGATTAACCATATTCATGGCCTCTAATATGGCTGAACAGTTGGCTTAGTCGCAAATAACTCCAGACACAATCCCTTATTTTTGCATCATAAGCTGGACAAACTCATTGTCTACGCAGATACAGTTAGCTTATATTCAATCAAAAGAACACATTCTCGCCATAAACTCACAATCAATTCGGCCATCACCATCCTGATCGGCCTCGCGAATCATCTCATCGACCTCGTCGTCGGTGAGCTTCTCGCCGATGGATGTCATGACATGGCGCAGCTCAGCGGCTGAGATGAAGCCGTTGTTGTCGCGGTCAAAGACCTGTAGCGCATACGTTAGCAAACATATTAAAATAAAATAGACACTAGTGCCGGAAACAAACCTTGAATGCCTCTCGGATCTCCTCCTCGGAATCAGTGTCCTTCATCTTTCGTGCCATCATGGTCAGGAATTCTACACCGCTCCGTATTAGCCCGAATGTGGCAACGACCCAACACTTTGACTTTTGACATACCGGGGAAATCGATAGATCCGTTGTTGTCGGCATCGACCTCGTTGATCATGTCCTGGAGCTCTGACTCGGAGGGGTTCTGGCCGAGGGAGCGCATCACGGTGCCCAGCTCCTTGGTGGTGATCTGGCCTGCGGGGTCAAGCCTGTCAGTTCTTTTTCTTTGCTCAGATATCATGAAAAGGGGTTGGCAAGGAAAATATCGGCCGGCAGCAAGTCATTCGGTGCTCCAGTGCCTGTTCGCAAAAGGGGGAGAGGGGTGGTGTCGCGTCACTCGCTGCTACGTACCATCACCGTCCTTGTCCTGTAGCAGCTGGGTCAGCACTCAAACCGTCCGAATTGCCACCAGAAACGAGGTAAAGACTCACAAAGAGGGAGAAGGCCTCCTTGAACTCAGAGACCTGCTCTTCGGTAAGAGAATCAGCCTGTTGAGAGCTCGCGGGTCAGTCACACAAAAGCTCCTGAGAATTTGGGGGTAGCCCCTCAACGGTCGCGGGGTTGCGCCTGAGACAAGTCGACCGAGGGTACCTGCGCGCCACTTACCATTGTGAATGGGGGCTATGGAGAGCAAAGAAAGCGTAAAGAGAGAGTGAAGAATCCAAAGATCGGAGAGTCCCGGGAACTCGACTTATAAAGACAAGGTTGGATGCGCCTGTGCGAAAGCGGGAGCTTTTTTGCTTGTGGTCGTGTCGTTGACGTGGGGAGAACAAAGCAACGATATAAATGTCAGGGGACCCCGTAAGGCAGAATCAGCATACAGTATTAACTCTGCGGGCTAGGACTGGGTCGGCCTATCCCATGGTGCCTACAAGTTCCAGTAGGACCTGCACCAAGTAGGGCCTTGTAACACATTGGATGGGGGCTGTTTCGGGGGGGCAAGTTGCGGCTCGGGGGATATTCGCACTGTACAGGCCATTGGGCGCTGTTCTGGCGGGAGCTGAAGAGTCATGATGCCATGATCACAGGCACGCAGTTATTGGTGCTGGTACCTATCTGTAGCCTGTAGCTACCCAATGCCATGCAGCAGAGGCTGAGGAGGCTGCAATCACAGCATATGCCTCTGTGTTAGTGCTGGGTACGAGCACTGAGAAGTGTATCTTGACACGTGTGAACACCGTGTGAGGCTGCAGCTTAATTGGTGGGAGCTCTGAAACTTGCACTCGTATCTGTTCGTATTCAGCTAGTGCCCAGTGCGCAACAGCCGTGCTCCAGGATTAGCGCAGTGTCGTAATGCAACCAGCTTCGACATTGGTATTGGTGCATGTCGATACTCAGCACTCGATAATGCCCGTCATCACCTGAAATCCCGGAAATCTTGCGTCCAGATCCAAGGCTTCCAATTCATCCTTGATCCATTCCCCGGACTGACAGGCCTCCAGACGCCCCCCCAGCGTCCGCCATGTGGCGCGACCGCACAAACCTGTACGTGTGCCCTGCAACTCCATGCGAACACCTATCCGTTCATCTCAACTGCCATATCTGACCCTGACCCGGAATCACCGTAGCTACATCTCCTACCGCCAGTCGTACGCTCATCATCCCAATCAGCGATCCAAATATGCCTCCGGAGGCTTCTCGGACGCATACTCCACCAGCAGCTTTGCGCCCGAGGACCGGCGCGGGCTGCTGTCGAGCGGCGCATTCGAAGATGATGGCGACGCTGTAATTGAGATGGACCTTTTGCCTCCGCGATGGACTGACGTTTCGGACGAGATCACGGAGCTGCTCGCTGAGATTGCCACGAAGAGCCAGCGGCTGGACAAGCTGCATCAGACACATGTCCTCCCTGGATTTGACGATGACGAAGCCAAGAGGAGGGAAGAGGTCCAGATCGAGAGACTCACCCAGGAGATCACAAAGAGCTTCCATCAGTGCCACCAGCGGATCCAAAAGATTGAGCACATGGTCCGCGAATCAACGCAATCAGGAACCATCAGCAGAGCGGAGGAGACCATGGGGAAAAACATACAGATATCACTAGCCACAAGGGTCCAGGAAGCTAGCGCGAACTTTAGAAAGAAGCAGAGCGCATATCTCAAGAGTCAGCCTCGACACAATCCCCCTGACCTCGACACTGTTCCCCCTGACCTCGACACTGTTCCCCCTGACCTTACCTAGCATAACGCTAACATCGTGTACTCTCTAGAACTTCGCGGAATGGGAGGCCTCGGCGCCGTTAGCCCAATCGATCGGCCGACATCGCCAATGCCCGGCTCTTCCTACATGGACCCATCCCTCCAGGAATCCGATGCCGACCGCTCCTTTTCGCAAAATACGCTGCAGGTCGCAATGCAACAGAAGACGTTGCACTCAAACGACGCCGCCATTGCCCAGCGCGAGCGGGAAATCGAGGAAATCGCACAAGGTATCATCGAGCTGTCGGATCTTTTCCGCGATCTTCAGACCATGATCATTGACCAGGGCACTATGCTGGACCGGATCGACTACAACGTTGAGCGCATGAATACAGAGGTCAAGGCTGCTGATAAAGAGCTAAAAATAGCAGAGGGCTACCAGAAACGGAACATCAAGCGGAAAATTATCCTCTTACTGATACTATTGGTTGCTGGTCTATTTATTCTGCTTATGGTCAAACCGAAGAAGAACAGTGAGTAAATAGCGGGAGATTAAGCTAGGTTTGGACGAAGAAGAAAAAGATTGCGGGGAGAGAGGTGGTGGAAGGGTAATCGGCGTTGTATGGACAGATGCTGCTACAGTCAGGACAGAGGCCGAGCTTCATCTCTCCTCTGTCCTGACAACTGCGGCTCAGCGTGGCGTTTTGACAAGCGGTTGATGGTCATACTGCTTCATGACGTATGATCATTTGTATCAACAAGGGAGTGAATTAATGCTACCCAGGGACAATCACTGATGCACCTGGAGTTACCGGTTTTTGATTAGATCTTATTTACAAGTTTCTGTAGATATTGTACAAAGGGCTTATCCTGCGTGTGCCCCAAAATAGATTCTATCCAAGTGCTATTCGCTCCCCTCATGTTCCGTTTTTATCAAACGTCTTGTCAATTAATTTTGGGTATTGGTTCCACAACTTTGACTTCCGGGCTTCGACTTCTTGCTTCACTCTCGACATGTCAGGGAACATTTCCGATCCCCACGCCTTCTCAACCAGGCCCATAAGGCTCTCCATGGAGAACTCGACGCTGTCTCTTGCTCGGTGTCTAGGTCGTCCGGGAACCATCCCAGTAGCAATGCGAGAGATGACACTCGAGCGCACCACCTGTGTATCGATTAAGGCTCCCTGGTCTCGCAGTGTGGCCAACAGACGAACTCCGCGGGCGACGTCGAATTGCGAAAAGTTTGCAGTCTGTAGATGTGTGAGAGACGTTGGTGGCTGGGGCTTAGTTGCCAGCGTCTGGTCGAATCCCCATCTCACGATGGAGCGTTGTAGCGAAGTATCGAATATCAGCCGAATGGGGTGGTGATGGTGGACAAATGGCAAGTCTGCCGGTATGTACTCCTTTTCCTCGGTGTTAAAGTGCTTTGGCAGGTCTTCCCGATGCACTGGAACCAGCCCGCCGTAAGGAGGAGTGTAAAATTGCATGATTTCCAAGCTCAGCTGGTCGAGTTCGTCAAGACGCCTTGAGCGTCCCAACTTGTAGAGGAGTGTTTTCCAATACCTTGTTGGAATGGCAACGTCATGGCACGAAATGCGCCGGATAACATTAAGAGCTCGGTCCAAAACAGGGTCATCGGAATCACTGAATCCATAGTCTCTTGGTAGAGATCGTTGTGATCGATGAGGCGGGTGAGAGTCAAGCTTCCAGAAAACACGCTTGAGGAGCCCAGTAGCACTGGCTTGGGCCATGCTGATTTTCAGCGCTTCCATACGATCAAGCACCTCCTTCGCTTTGCCTAGACTCCGCTTGGAAAGCTCGCTTCTAAGCAAAGAATTGAGACGTCGGGATGTCGGACCAGTCTCGATTGCCCATTCGATACCCTGGAGGAGTCGCTCCATCTTCCAATCCCCTGTCCTCGCAGCCTCAGCCATAAGGGAGTGTCGAGTTTCCATATCTTCAAATTCATCAGGGTGGATGTCGCAATGAAGTAAATCCGTTAACAATTCGTCTGCCCCATTTCTTGCGAACGAAACTAGAATCTTGCAATAGGATTGAGGGGATATTCTGATCCCCAGCCTCTCGACCTGGTCTATACGCGCCGCAACTTCTTTGGCGTCTGGGTCTCGCAGCGCAAGAGACTGTAGAGAGCGAGGGCCGATTGTGCGCACTCCGAGCTTGTATATGAAGTTGATTGCAAATTCCACCGATGTCCATGTGCTGGCAAACCATTTTGCAACGAGAGCATCGCTGTGTGTTCCTCTTCGGTCGATTCTCTTCCTATCGACTTCAGGGAACTTTTCATCATCGTCAGCTTCAGCAGCTAGTTCTTGTCGACTGAGCTCAGCAACAGCTAATTCTCTCTCTGTGAGTTGTATGTGCGGATAGTAGCTGGCAAGAAATAGAAGAAACGGCCGAGAATTGGACGTCATTGGACCATCCTTGAACACGACCAGTTTTTTGCGCCAGGTACGGGCCAGCTTAGACTGACCCGAGGCAAAGAGAGCTGGTATGATGTGGTCGTATAATTGGCGGTTGGCGCTCGACACATAAAGCGTTGTCAAGGTGCTTTGCATCTCAGGAGTTGGCTTAATGGCAAATGTTGCCAGTAAAGCTCCGAATTCATCTGCCCCAGGTGGAAAGATGGGGGATAACTTCTGATCCCAACGAATTGCCTCTTCATAAACGCCACGGCCCAGGAAAAAGCGAACAATTGTCGTGTATAGATCGGGCCATTGGAAACTGTTCTGTGCCAGCAGTTGCTGGGCCGCAGTGAAGAGCACAGACAGCCGTGAGTCCGAGCCCAGCGCTGCCGACAAAATCTTACCCCTCAGAGACTCAGCATCGCTAAATGCGATTATATCATGTTTCTCCTGGTACCAAATTGCTTGAAAAACGGCCCAAACCCCGTCGGATCCATGCTTATCAGATAGTATATCGCATACGGCCTCCCACGAGGCGGCATCGTAGGGCTGGATTTCAACCTCTGCGTCTTGAAGACTCTTGTTGATTCTTGCTACGAGGGCTTCGTTCGATGATAGGAGGCCCGAAGATACATCATGTCGCTGTCGCGCCTGCCCTAGACTCCCGTATTTTCTCCATCTTGATGGCTGCAGCAAGGAACTCGGATTCCCAGCAGAGAGTGCTCGCCATTGATTCCAATCAGAGCTTCTAGGAGTAAGTCCAGGAGCTTGATGAAGAATACGTCCTTTTCTTGGAGTAATAGATAGGCGAGCTAGGGCAGTGAGGTGCTGGGAATAGTGTCGTAGCTTTGCAGACGGCGCATGCGAAAGGTTGGGAGGAAATCGAGTCGATGATGGCCGATTCTGTGTAAATTTTACGGCTCCTCGCATTCCTGGGATTGTCTCCAGCCAGCCGCCAACTTCTGAGGCATATCACCGCATTCAGCCGTTCAACTGTGGCGTATCGTCGGGTATCAAGATGCCATCAAAGTCGCTGTATCGCAGCTGCAGGGCTGGAGATGGCAAGGCTTCACTTTTTACTCTACTACTAGGCCGGGATATTCACACCAGCGCTTGTAATTGGCGGTTCCCGAGCTATAACCTTGAAGGTACGTACCTCAACCCATCCCACTTCCACATTGTGCGCTGCAGATGGTTCGGTTGCTGAGTCATCCAGCTCCCCACTTTTGAGCTAGAATATGGCCTCATTTCTCTAACCAAGGCTTCTTCTGACATCCCGACTACAAGATCACTCCACCACGAAGCACTTTTCAAACCGAAGACCTACACGCATCTTCATTTTCAACCGCCAAAATGGGGTAAGCTCCTCTCACCGACCGACGCATGCGAAAGCGCCCAATTGCTGCTCGCCCTGCCGACGGGTTCCGCAGGGTTTTCCCGATGGATGCGCATAGCTTGGAGAGAACCTTCGACTGACGCCGTGCCATAGTATGATCGACGCCAAGAACAGGGTGACGGAGAACCAGCGCTTCTACCAGGCTGCGTACAAGGCTCACACCCGCCTGTGGAAGATTGTACGCCCGAATTAGCGATCACGAACCTCGAGCTATGCTAACGCAGGCGACAGAACCCCCGAAGCAACTGGTACATGGCCCCCTACCTCGTCGCCCTCTGGGGAGGTTTCGGAGGTGAGTTGATTGATTGATAAAATGGGCTATAGAACGCAAAGCTAACAGAGTCATAGCTACCCTCTACGCTGCCAGCCGAAAGGTTGCCGGCCACAACACCTGGTTCAGCAAGGATTAAAGTACCGGTATCTATGGGACGAGCCAATTGAGTTACCCCAACTTGCTCCAAATGCAAGATTGGGGGCATGTATGAGTTTAAAGTCTTATAGACAGTAAATATAGGATTTGTCGGTCCGTCTCACATGTCTCGCTGTATTGATTGGATCACCCATGTTGCTGTTCGCGTTCGTCTAACGTGTGTTTATTCATGTTTTTCTTTTCCTTGTTCAATTATGCGTAGCCAGTAATTCATTGTGCCACTCCGATTCTTTCGTGGTAGAGAAAAAAACGCAAATCAAATGTACCGCATGTCAGATTTCCGGCCCTCCGTTGCCCAGGCACTGCAATGCCACTATATTGGTTGTAAAGCTCAGTCCACCGGGTATTAGTAGCCCGTTGCACCAGGAGCCTTTTCGTCTTTGCGCAGGCTCACCAGCATCTCACGGAAACGCTCTTTGCCAGATCCGGCGGCTCCGCCCTTGGCCCCCTTTCCGCTGACGTCCACGAGCTTAGCAATGCGGTCCCAGCTTGTGCCACCAGAAACCGTATCCTCCCTGCTGGCAAGGAATTCCTCTGCCTCTTTGCGTGTCTGCGCAATGCCCTTCTCTTTCTTGGAGTTGTAGTTGTCATAGAAGTCATCAATGTTCCGTTGAGCTTCCTGTATCGTTTCCTCTCGCTGAGCGGCGAATTGCTCGGATCTCTTTGCAATCTGCGCATCGCGGGCCTCGCGCCACTGCTTGATGACTTCCGGCTCCTCCTCATCAACAGCGTATGACTGGTAACCCGAGTTGTAGCTTACAGACGGGCCAGTCATGATGTTTCCATCCACTCCAGCCAAGCCCTGAATGACGACCCTTGTTAGCGCCTCGGAATTCGTTGGAATGCTCGACGTATACCCACAGCAGTTGGACTGGCAAGGTCTGGAAATTGGGACTCAAAGGTCGATGCCGCGGCGTTGCTCTCGCCCAGGAGATCTCCACCAGCGTCGGCCAATGCGTTTGCGTCATCACTTGTCGTGAACTGGTTCGCATCATCGCCAAGCAGAGCCTTTTCTCTGGCGAGAAAGTCTTCAGCAGTGGGTTCGTCGGAAACTTCCTTGATATCGGTTTGCGCTGATAGGCAGTGGTTAACTTGGATCAAGGTTGGCTGTGTCCGTTCAGGAGCTTACCTCCGGAATCGAAGTCCTCGAGCGAGGGGAATCGGTCAGCCATGGTGAATTATCGTAGAAGAAACTGTAATCGTGCAATAAAGAAGATCGTGGCCAGAGCACAGCGCGAATGGCAAATCCAGACAAAGGAGTGTGTAAGGTTGGTCTTGCTCAGCTTGCGCAACGAGGTCGCTAGCAGTGACCATCTGTTCCCTGTTGTCCCTGGTTACTGCTACCATGTTCTGCCGGGCGGTGAGGCAACGTGAGACGCAGCTCTGCGCTAAAATATTGCATAATGCGGTACAAGCCCGCTAGCATTTGCACTTATCCGGTCTTTCGATGGACCTACCAGGTATCTCCCAAGCCTCCAGCTCTCGTCAAACTTTCTTCCTTGATGTTGGATGCTATTAGTTGATACTCCTTTGCCCACGACCATTTTTAGTTTTTCCTTGCCTCCTCTGTGTTGGGCTGTTGATTTGACAGGCAACGCTTTGTCTCCTGACTTGGGCCTGATCTGCCTCAATTGCACTTCCACTAGCTGATCGCAAGCTTGCAGTTGGAGCTCCAAGGTCAAGATCCACTGCTTGCTGTAGACCTTTTCCATCGCGTCGCAAGGCCAATCTACTCCAATAAGGCACGTCGCCCGTAGAATCAAGCGGCGGAACGCCGTGTGTGCATTTGCCTCAGCTTCATACGTCAACTGCTACAAAGGATCAAGCATCGTAATAATGGCGTACAACGACGATTCGGTGCTGGCGCGTCTGTCAGCATTGAATGAGAGCCATGACAGCATCGCAACGGCGGCCCAATGGATAATGTTTCATAGGTAAGCAACCTCTATTGAATATGAGCAATTCTACTTTGAATGTGACAGAGGTACTGATCAATCCAATACTTTCAGACGGCACGCAGATCGCACGGTGGCGCTCTGGATGCAGCGACTGAAAGATTCATCTAGCACGAAACGACTGAGCCTGGTTTACCTTGCGAACGGTATGCATTCCACAACCATTATATACGTCCTTACCCTTTCAATAAGGATTTACAGCATGCTCACGCAACGACGGATGCTAACACTTTGTGGAAAGAGGTTGCGCAGCAGTCGAGAATCCGCCATAAGGAGGACTTTATCATCGCCTTCTCTCCGGTTATTACAGAAGCAGCCGCAGTGGCCTACAAAGGAGCGCCAGCTGAGATTCAAGGCAAACTGCGACGTGTCATTGACGTCTGGAAAGACAGAGCTATTTTCGAGGCTCCGATTCAGGCTGCTATAGAGTCGCGTCTAAATGGTAGGTACCTTTGCAGTTTCTTTTTGGTTGTGAATGAATGCTAATCTCGGAAACAGAGTTGGATAAAGCTCGCGGATCTGTTAAGCCCGGTTTCGGAGGTTCCCCATTTGGATCATCGGCTGCCCCCTCTGTGCCTTCAGAATTCACGCCCCTTGTGTCTGCTCATCAGACGGTCACCAAGCTAAGCGTGCCATTAAAGACGACCATTGCTTCAGCGAACCAAGAGTATGAAAAGCAAGTCGATCCTACAGTACCCGCCCCGTCAGCGCCTGTCTATGCAGCTCGCCTCAATGGGCTGCTCAAGACACTTGCGAGCGCTGAGAGTGCGGTAGCCGAGTGCGTCAAGGCTCGAGAGAGTTTAATCTCGGGACTGGAAAAGATGCTGGACTCAAACAGAGCGGCCTTGGAAAATGAAAGGAATGCAGCTTCCGAGCTGTCGGGCCGCAAACGAGAGATTGAAGATAAGAAGCAGCAGGTTGAGGTAGCTATCATGAGAGCACTCGGACCTGCGGATAGCAACGGAGCGCATACAGAAGGGGAATCTGGTGGCCCTCCTGCCGAGCTTGACCGGCCAGAGATGGAGGCTCTAACACCGCCAGGCATGGACGATGACTTTGAGGACATTAGACCAGAGAGCATCGACTATGGCGAAGACGACGACATCAAGCCCACTGAGGACGTCCCAGCAACTGAACCTTCCTCCGCCAAGGTCTCAACGTACACTCAGTCGCTCCCCATATCAACCAACGGGTCCAATAAAAGACGACGAGTGGACAATGACGACGACTTTCCCGATCTCGGCAACGATGGTGAGATAGATACCGAGGTGGCAGAGATGTTGAAGGAAGGCGGTGACATTTGATTTGATTGAGGATTCTGTGCGGGGGGTGTCAGATTGCTTCTTCGAGATGGAATCTGACTATACGGAACAAGCTATATCCTGGCCTTTGGGTAGTAGTGGGTTGGCTTTCTACGGCGCATGCTTCCAGTTGTATTTTCATCCTCAGCATAGGATTTGAGTTTGTTAGGGTTGTGTATGGAATGTACGATGCAGGATTTCTTCAATACTGGGGACGTGACTAAAGGCAGTACACGGTTCAGTTCAATTCAACGCATCATGTCTAGTCGTAGTACTTTGGTATGTGCCTAAGATTAGGTGTAAATATAAGATATAAGCACCTCAGTTCAGGTTGCTTTCACAGACAGATTCCTTACATGTGCTTCGGGACTCGGACCTTGCAGCTCGGCGCCATGCCCGTACGGAGTCCGGAGCTCAAGCAAATCCACGTTAGGCCGACCTTCGGCCGAGCTATGTCCACTAACTAGCGCTTTGGAGTTGCCGCCTTGCGCATGCAGCAGCTTTCAGCGCTTTCAGCTGTAAATGCCGCGACTATGACGGAACCTCCTAGTTCAGCAATGTGCTAGGTGATTGGAAATCTTTTTCCAAGCCGCCTCTTGTTCCCTTCTCTCCTCTACAACGCTACCGGATCACATCACCGCTTCAGCACCGACCACGGCTTTTCTTTCCGATCGGCTCCCAGCAATTCGATGCTGAACCGCTGGGCGTCCCCTCGGTTATCATGAATGCCGGGGCGCTGCGACGAGCGCTGCCTGCCAGGCTAGCAGCCAGCAGCTCGCAAGAATCTGCAGCCTCAAGTCGAGCTCTGTCGCAACACTTCTCGAAGCCCGAATCTCTGTTGCAACAGCCGTATTTCCTTCGCCCGCCGGTTTCTGGTTCGCGCACTCTGCCCTCTTTCAGCCCTGCCGGCTTCCATTCGCTGGCAGGGTCTCTACGTCTATCTCAGGTACAACAATCTCAGTCTCTATCGCATTCGGCCATTGGAGGCCCGTCAACCTCGGGCCATGGACGCATTCTGCAACTAGCTCGCCAATTCTCCAGTACTTCTTTCGCCGCGCGGGAAATCCAATCAAATAGCGGAAATGCGACTCGGCAAACGCTAGAGCCTACAAGGCAGACAAAGGATACGGATGAGGACGAAGCCAACCAGGAATTTCAGAAAAGCGAACGGGCAGCCAATGCGGCGCAAGTCAATCTATCTGCTAGGTTATCTAAAGAAGGCACGCCCAAATCGAAGGCTGGCTTTCAGGAAATATGGAGGCTACTCTCGATCGCCAAGCCCGAAGCTCGGTGGCTGGGCCTGGCTTTCTTCTTCCTTATGATCTCTTCCGGCGTTACCATGTTGATTCCATTTTCCGTCGGTCGCATCTTGGATATCTCGACAAAGGGCAACATCGATGACGTTAACATCTTTGGTCTCTCCTTGAACCAGTTTTTCATGGCTCTTGGTGGCGTTCTCACACTTGGAGCCATGACCAGCTTTGGACGAGTCATTTTGCTGCGTATCATCGGAGAGAGAGTCGTCGCCAGATTACGGTCCCAGCTTTACAGGAAAACCTATGTTCAAGATGCTGAATTCTTCGATGCCAATCGAGTTGGTGATCTCATCTCACGACTTGGTTCCGATTCCGTCATTGTTGGCAAATCAATTACTTCCAATTTGAGTGATGGACTTCGAGCAGTCTTCAGCGGTGGTGCTGGATTCGCAATCATGATCTGGACGAGTGCCAAGCTTACTGGCATCTTGTGCCTCATGTTCCCACCCATTGCTATTGGTGCCTTCTTTTACGGACGAGCGATTCGAAATGTGAGCAGGTCGATACAGAAAAATCTCGGTACCTTGACAAAGATTGCGGAAGAGCGACTTGGAAATATCAAGACCAGCCAGGCATTTGTTGGAGAGGTTCAAGAAGTTGGGCGGTACAACAGACAGGTCCGCAGGATCTTTGCTCTTGGCAAAAAGGAGTCCCTCATTGCTGCAACCTTCTTCGCTTCAACGGGCTGGGCTGGTAACATGACGATTCTGGCCATGTTAGTTGTCGGCGGAAATCTCGTGAGGACCGGCGCCATGTCCCTGGGAGATCTGACTTCTTTCATGATGTATACTGCATTTGCAGGCTCCAGTCTTTTTGGTCTCTCAGGCTTCTACTCAGAGCTCATGAAGGGCGTTGGTGCCGCAAGTCGATTGTTCGAATTACAGGATCGGAAACCCACCATTCACCAGACGGTCGGATTCCCCGTCAAGTCAGCTCAGGGCACCATTCGATTTTCCGACGTTCATTTTGCCTACCCAACCAGGCCTGCAGTGAAGATTTTCAACGGCTTAGATTTTGAAATTGCGTCTGGTAGCAATGTGTGCGTCGTTGGCCCATCAGGAGGCGGCAAATCGACAGTTGCGTCGTTGCTTTTGCGATTCTACAATCCTACATCCGGATCTATTACCATCAACGGTGTCGACATCTCAACAATGAACATCAAGTCGCTGAGACGGCGCATTGGTGTTGTGTCTCAAGAGCCTGTACTGTTCTCAGGCACCATTGCTGAAAATATCGCATACGGCAGGCCACATGCAAGTCGCGCGGAAATTATTTCGGCAGCTAGGAGAGCAAACTGCACATTTATCAGTGATTTGCCTGAAGGCCTTGAAACACAGGTCGGCGCCCGAGGATCCCAGCTTTCCGGTGGTCAAAAGCAGCGCATTGCCATTGCTAGGGCACTGCTCAAGGACCCCGATATCTTGATTCTCGACGAGGCTACTTCGGCTCTGGATGCAGAGTCAGAGACATTGGTAAATGAAGCGCTTGCGGGGCTGCTCCGTGGACACAACACCACCATATCCATTGCCCACCGACTGTCTACGATCAAGAGGTCCGACCTCATCATTGTGCTGAACAAGGATGGAAAGGTGGCTGAAATTGGCAGCTATGTCAAGCTTGCTGCTGATAAAGAAAGCGCCTTTAGCAAACTGATGGAGTGGCAGATGAGTGGTGGCGAGATCCCCGAGAAGCGGCCTTCCACAGAGGCCACTTCCCACATTACAGAATTTGAGGAGATTGAGGATGATCTCGCCAGAGATGAAGACCAGGAGAGATTCGTGGAAGAAGGGGAAGAGGCGAACAGAGAAAAGGCTTCTCTGACATCAGAAGATAAAGGAAGAAGCCCTTGAGCGCATACACGATGGGTGTCTAAAGAAAAGAAAACACACATATATACATCAAAGAGGGGGGAAGTTGATTGTTTGATTGATAAATTTTGTAAATTATTTTCGGCGGCAAGGTTGGTGTATCAGGAGCAAAACGAAACGTTTTGTACATAGAGGTCAGCATGCCCCCTGGGATGGCGGCACTCATAAGTACTAGGTATGGATCTTGTAGTAATAACTCCGCTCAAACTCGTGCCTTGGAGGACGATGTCTTGAGGATAGCAGGCTGTGGAACTTGTATTATATCTGAGAGGGGCATAAAAGAGAGTTGAGAGAATATGAATTTTCATCTTGGTTATGTGCTTGCTATGTCGCTTATATTGAGGATGGAATTACATGGTCTCAGAGTGCTTCAACCGCTCTCTTCCCGTTCTTACTTCCCATTTATTCACAATCACCTGATAACGTAGTTTCAATTGAGGAGCTGGTCTATATACGGACTACTCAACTCATACAAAGCCCTGGAGATCAAATCCATATAACTGTAGCAGGGTAAGACGACATCCATTGTGGCTTCTACCGAGGAAGCTCGGGCTGGGATCTACCCGCGGCCCCACTGAAAAGACCCGTGGACCGCTAATTGGATACAGGTACCCTTGCAATAGGCACTAGAGCTGCCATAGGGGCTGCACTCCAGCGCGTCTCATGCTCCATGTTACAGCTCAGCTTGCGATCCGTCTTCGTTCTGCTTTTGTTGGTTCTGAGAGCGAGTCCACCCCAGCTGTTTTAATATCAGAGAAACATCATACAAATCAGCCATGACAACCACAGAGGGGACATTCAAAGCGGGCGATGCAAGCCTCTACACCAAGACGTGGACGGTTCGTTGAACTATTTTCACATGTGAACGCTGCCTCAATGCTAATGCCGTCCCCAGCCGACGGGTCCTGTCATCGCCAAGCTCATCTTCGTCCACGGCTTCAGCGAGCACATCAACCGCTACAACGACTTCTTCCCCAAGCTCGCCGAGCACGGCATCCAGGTCTTCGCATGGGACCAGCGCGGCTGGGGCCGCAGCGTGAATCGGCCCGCGGAGAAGGGTCTCACCGGCCCAACCGCGCAGGTCGTCGCCGACATCGTCGCCTTCATCCAGGAGAAGCTGCCGTCGGACGTGCCGGTGTTTGTCATGGGCCACTCCATGGGCGGCGGCGAGGTCCTCACGCTGGCGGGCGATGCGAAGCACTCGCAGCTGGTGGCTCAGATCCGGGGCTGGATCCTCGAGGCGCCCTTCATCGGCTTCTCCAAGGGCGAGGAGCCCAGCGTGGTCAAGGTTGTTCTGGGGAGGCTGGTCGGGCGATTGCTGCCGCGGCATCAACTCAAGCATGTGGTTCCGCCGGAGCACCTGAGTCGCGATCCGGAAGTCGTCGAGTCCATCAGGAACGACGAGCTGTGCCACAACACCGGCACGCTGGAGGGCCTGGCGTCGCTGCTGGATCGTACAGCGTTGCTTTCATCTGGGGGAGTGAAGCTGGGCGGTGATGTGAAATCCATCTTACTGACTCACGGCACAAACGACATGACTTGCAGTTACGATGCGGCTGTCAAGTTTGTCAATGAGCAGGCGGCCGTTGAGGACAGAGAGACCAAGTCGTATGAAGGCGCATACCACCAGCTTCACGCGGACCACTGCAAGGACGAGTACACAAAGGACGTTATTGACTGGATCCTGAAGCGATCTAAAATCGAACCGAAGCTGTAAGGGGGTTCACCAGCTTTGTTGTTTTGAGACTTGCATAATGGCGTTTTCCTCCCTTCCATTTTCTTTTTTAGGATAGTTGACCAACTTTGGCTGCTTACACTGAGATGCAGCCAAGCTATCCGTACATGTAGTCTACCCCCTTACATATAATAATCTAACCTCTCGACGTATTAATGCAGCTTATGTTACTGATCTTTTTTCAACGATTCATGCAAGATAGCAGCCGCAGCTAACCATATTGATATGTGTGATAAAGGCTCTGCAGCAAATGGGCTGATACGCAGGCGTGGGTCGGCGAATTTGAGCCGCCGCTGGGGAACCTGGATGGTTCCGGAGTCGCCCGAAGAGCCGCTGCCAGACTTTGATCGAGATTCCATTTAAGATCTAGATGCTCCCGCTGCACTTAAGCAGTTTATTTTTAAACCGTCTACTTCATGTGTAACGACCCTGGCTTTTCTGCTCGTTCTGCCTCATCGCCGTATTGCGTGTTGGAGTTTGAATTGCCAATCTCTTCCCAACGCACTTACAGGCACTTACTTGGCTCATGAGCTTACTAAGGAATATGCCGCCTATGGAAGCAGACAATGGCGACCACGTTGGTTGATCCGTTCGCGTCCTGCGCAAATCCGCGTCTTGGCTCGTTGGTAGGAGAGAATAAAGGAGAGCAGGAGCAATTCCAGAGGTGCTTTCCTGCAGCCGGTAAAATGTTCCATTCCACATAAGCTCAATCAATCTCTTAGTTTATTCAATTTTTTTCTTCTCTTCATCTAAACTCAACCCCATATCTAGGACGAGCATCAATCAACCGCTGAAATGTAGTAACCCGACCATCTTGTTCGTTTTTATTACCCTCAGCGTATCTCCTTTCTTGGCCCGAAGCCCCCACGCCCACCGATCCCGCCACAGCTTGAGTCCCTTTATTTGCGAGCTCTCCACAGCAGCTATCGGCCCGTATCGTCAAATTTCTACTCGGTGCCCCTGGCATCAATCAAGCTTACTTTATCTCGATCTGGCTTGCCTTTTCATCATCAAACCTCGGGGCCAATCGATCCTCTTGCTTTAGCGTCTTGGACATTATTCTGTCCTTGATCAGCACTGATCTGTTGAGCCTTGAAGATCCCTGGTCAGCCAAGACTTTCTACGAGGCCTCCTTGCGTGGCGAAGTGAAACCCCCCACGCCGAACTCGCGTCTCCTTCGGACCTACCGGTGAATTGGGATAATACTTAACACGCCGAAGTATTGGTTGCTAGCGACTCTTGATTGTCTTCTCCAGGCTTTCGGTGGCAATTGAACAACGGCATCGCCCGATTCATCACCCCTTGAATCGTTCACCATGACGCCCGACGCAAGCAACACCATCACTCACCACCCCAACGTCTTCAACCTCCAGCGCCTCCAGCCGCCATCCTCCAGCCGCAGCAGCTCGAAATCGCCTGCTGTTCATGATGCGTCTAGCACAGGCGTTGAGGCCGTCGAGGTGGCCGATCACGATGCAGTAGAGCGCCACCACTTCACAAGCGCAGACGTAGAGAGGCAGTCCACCGCGGGTCGCAGCTCTCGCGTCCCGCGTCTGTCGGCCGAGAGCGATCCTTACGGCCTGTCCTTTTCTTACAAAACCGACTCGGACCTCGAGCAGATCAAGGCCAATTCATCTCGTAAGAGGGACGGTGCCAACGGGGCCAAGAAGTACGCGCCCAAAAGCGACCACCGCAAAGTCCGCGGCTTCTACGAAAACCAAAATGCCACCATCGAACGGATGCTCAAGTCGGTTGAGGACCATCGAGAGGAAGCCCGCATCGAGCAGGGAGAAGACAAGCTCAAGTTCAAGATTGCCATCTATGGCTCGCTCGCGGCCAACATTGTCCTCACGGCCCTTCAGCTCTACGCGGCCATTACGTCCGGCTCTCTGTCTCTCTTCACAACCATGGCCGATGCTATCTTTGACCCGCTCAGTACCCTCGCTCTGATTCTGTCGAACCGCGCCATTCGCAGTGTTGATCCGCGACGCTTTCCTGCCGGCAAGGCACGGCTCGAGACAGTGGGCAACATTGTCTTCTGCTTCCTCATGAGCGCTGTAGCCCTCATCATCATCGCCTTCTCAGCAAAGGAACTGGCAAGCGGTGATAGCGAGAAGAAGTTCCATCTCCCCTCGGTCATCTCCGTCTGCGCGGCGTTTGCGACCAAGTTCGCCCTCTTCTTGTATTGCTGGTCTCTCAAGGACAAATATAGCCAGGTGAACATTCTGTGGCAGGATCACCGTAACGACCTGCTCGTCAACGGCTTTGGTATCTTGACATCGGTGGGTGGTGCAAAGCTGGAGTGGTGGATTGACCCAATGGGCGCCATTCTCTTGTCTATCTTCACCTCCAGCATCTGGTTGTATACTGCATTTAACGAGTTCCTACTGCTCGTGGGTGTCGTCGCGCCTCTAGACATGCAGCAGCTCATCACATACGTGTGCTTGACCCACTCGGAAGTCGTTGAAGGCATTGATACGGTGCGAGTCTACCACTCGGGCCCGCGGCTGATTGCTGAAGTGGACATTGTCATGGACCCGACGCGGACGCTCCAGGAGACGCACGATGTGGCCGAAGAGCTGCAGTTCAAGCTAGAGAGTTTGCCCGACGTTGAGCGGGCCTATGTTCATATTGACTACGAGACCACTCACAAGCCCGAGCATGCCTACAAGAAGGACATTTGATGTTGGTATATGAGAGATTTGGAGCGTAGGACGCATGCATTCATGCAGTCGTGCATGAGAGAGGCTTTTTTCTGTTTGGTGCTTGCACTTTGCTTCACCATTTCTGCAGTTGTTTCGTTATTAAAGGAAGAGGGCATGCAATGGAGTCATTGACGCGTTAGTATCGTATCACTTTTTGGAATATTACGAAGTATTAATTCAGCATCCTAGCTCTTACAAAGAGGGGCAAAGGATGGAGGGGGCACAATTGGAATGCCCGTATAGTACAGTAGCTCGAATATATTGGCCATGCGAAGTTGGCTAGACTTTTTACCTTGCAGCATTGTCAGAAATCACATGTAAAAGCCGCTTCGTTGGGAGGCATTGCTTGTCTTGCAGAGGCAGAGGCAACCATCCTCGTCTTCCTCTTTACCATTACGGTGCCAGATGGATGCTCAAGGCAGCTCTTTTGCAATTCCAAGGTGCGGGGGAACGAGGATAGTGGAGAACTACGGAGCATCTGGATCGTTGGCAAGGAGGAAGCTTCATCAAAGAGACGAAGTGGAGAGCTATTTATTTCGCAAAAAGGTGGGTGTTGTTTGGGTATACTCGAAAGCTGCAGCTCCCGGGCCCCATCCCTAGGGCACTGTCGAGACGCGTCTCTACCAACGGAATACGGAAGCTGATGGGAGCATTCTGCCCGACAAGCAAAAAAACTGTTGAGACGGCTTAGGTATCAATTTGGCGTTCCATTACCCGGATGGTCTCGCAGGCAGACAGCAAAACAGGCCACGGGCCAAAGGAGGGGTCAAAGGCAAAGGAAGGGGGCTGGCTGATAGTGAAAAGGCCATTGACAGGACAGGCGGCCAGATACGACGTTGACCATGTAATAAAGTATTAACGGCCCGACGTTGAAGAAGTTCCCAATGGCGTGAGGAGGCAAAGGACAAGCCTCCTCTCTCTCTCGCCGGTGCAGCCTCGCAGTACATCGGAAATGGGCCCCGTTGGCCGGGTCTAGCTAATCAGGACGGCGGGAAGGCAAGCATGTCCTGTACGTGATGAGGAGCGGCCGCGGCCGAATTGCGCGCATTTGCATGGAACTGATAACCAGTTTGCTGCGAGTGAGCCCGACGGACTGCGCGCGTTGGGCCTCGATTTCTATTTATCTGCAAAGCAAACCGAGAGGGCAGAGAAGCACTGATTCCCAACTGCGGAGCCCTTTCTGCTGCTAACTCGGGTAGAGGATCCACGAAGGGGGGCGGGAGAGAGAGAAGTGGCCAAAGGAAGACCAGACCTGCGAGCGTTTTTTTCTCCCTCTCTTCTTCCACTTTCCCTCTTCCTTGTTCATGCAAGGCCAGATGCGAGCCTGCATGCGCGGCAAGTGGTGAGAGAAATAAAAAATTTTCGCTGTTGGGGGACCATTGGCCTATGGCGAGGCCGGGATGTGCATAAAAGGTGACGCATTGGAAGCTTGGGTGCTAGTTTCGTATGTAAATTGGCTTCCGTCGTGGTGGCGCTGGCCCGTATCTAATCAGGGACAATCTGGACGTTCCGGTGTTTTTGCTGGCCCCGGGGTTTGCCTTGGTTAGGCATCTACTACTACCTTGGTGCTGATCTTGGTTTTGTTTCTTATCCAAACGGGGCCGCTATTGATTCATTAGCCTTGAATGGGTTTGCTGACCGCTTCGATGTTTTTATCATGGATTCGATACAAAAAAGACGAGGTCGGTTATGAGGATGGAAGACGAGCGAGTATCACAACACGTGGTTGGTTGGCTGAGACGAGCTGGAGGGGTTTTTGGAGGGGTTTCTTTTGGAGGGGCTGTTTTTCCCTTGGAGGGGCACTGCACAGCACTGCATAGAGGGGTTTTGATGTACATACACATACATGATACAGCAGACAGACATGATGGGTGGCGGCGTGCATGACATTTGCCTGATGTGCGCCGCATCGTGTCTGCATCTGCATGCTGGTTCGCTTGCACGCCATGCTGCACGCCGGCCGCCATCAGCCAGAGCTGGGCCCGGGTAAGGTCCTTAGGCCCCGTATTAGCCCGATGGCCAGCGGGTGCCACAGAGGACGAACTAAACTGATAGCAGCTTGAAGTGACAGGACAGGGCAACGGGACAGCTCTGGAACAGTCACTCAATTGAGGTTACTGTACTGCGCCCAAGCTTGGGGGTACATCGTCGATCCATGACAGCAAGCGTGGAAAGCCTCGATCCATCGACACGAACAAGTAGCGCCAGCCCAATGGCTAGTACCTCGACGAAACGCCACCCATCTTTCATCCATTCCTTTTTTTGCCATTGGATGGGCGTATGTACTGTACTGTACCGGGCAAGCTCCGTACCCAATTCCAACCTCCATCACCATAAAGTTGCCTCCCAACTCTTTTTTTCTTTATTTCTACCGCGCCCCGTCCCGCTCCAGAAGCTGTTTTCGCATTCCCCTCTGCTTTTCTTCCTCCGTAAAGCTCGCTCGTCGTCTTGTTTTTGTGAGCCTGTTT